CATAAACGTGCAAATTTTAAAAATTATTCTATATTTTATAGGTAGCCAGTGCAACAGAACAAGATATGGAGATATATGAAAAAAGAAAGGGGCGCGAGCAACTAGACATGCAGCAGAGTTAAAAGCTTTACTTAAAGAATACTAGTACAATTATATGTAGAGCGAGTTACAACAATCAATCCTAGATAAGACTAACGAAGTAACAAGAAGGAGAAGAGTAGGATCATCAAGAAAAGGCAAAAGTTTTTTTATTCTACGTAGATGAAAGTAAGAGCTTCTAGCGACACTATTAATCTGAGAAGAAAGAGACATAGTAGAATCAAAAATAAAACCTAGACTACAAAACTTGTGAGAGACATCAAGAGTTTTAGAATCAGGTAAGATAATCGGAGGAATAGTAATAGAGTGTTTAGATTTATTAAGATAATTTAATTCAAACTTAGAAGGATTAAGTTTAAGACACATAGAGTCAGACCAAGCGATAATTGAAGAAAGACATAGAGATAGATTATGAAGAACACTATTGAGATTAGATGGAGGAAAAGAAGTATAAATGTAAGAATCATCAGCATATAGTTGACTAGAGAAAGAAAAGTTATTAATAATACGAGGTAGTTCAGAGGTATAGAGTATAAATAGAAGAGGGCCAAGGATAGAACCCTGAGGTACCCCGAAAGTAAGAGTAGAGGAGTTAGAAGTAGAATTATTGAGAACAACAGAAGAAAAACGATTACAGAGATAAGAAAACCAAGATGTTTAAGGGGTCTCGTGGCCGAGTGGTTAGCGTGTCCGTCTACTGCTCCCACGACCCGGGTTCAAATCTTGCAGTTTCTGCAGATTTATCCGGGTAGCCGACCCCCCGGCCAACCCAGCCATTCATTATTTTGAGGCTGGTAAATGTGTAGACAACGTAAGTTGTCGCATGTTGGGCGGCGAGATGGCTCAGTGGTTCAAATGCTCGCTGAGTCAAACATCTCGAAGGCTATCATATACTCAGCGTATATAATGCGGTGCTTGCGCGTGCACATAAATACATGTGTACGTCCGTGTGAAAAGGATAAACAGCCTTTGTGGTGAAGATGGCTTCTTCAGAACATAATAAAGATATATAGATAATATATATGCAACATCATTGTAAGTGGTTCTGCGTATGTCGGAGCTGCAATAATAAAGACTGAAAAAAGATAGACAAGAATCAGTAATATTAAAAGAAAGATGTAGCAGCCTCAAGAGAATAGTATGATCAACAGTATCAAAGGCCGAGGAAAAGTCAAGAGCAAGAAGAAGAGAAAGATTACTATTGTCGCTAGAGAGAAGGATATCATTGTGTATTTTTGAGCAAAGAAGTTTCAGTACCGTGAGCAGGTTTGAAACCAGATTGAGATACAGGTAGCAAGGAGTTAAAGTTTAAATGATACGTTTATAATATGATTTTTAGTTTAGACCTTCCAGATGGCTCGGAAGATACACAATAAAATAAAGAAAAAGCTGAGGTCACCATTTCTTCCTTAGCTTCAGAGGCGTAGCTAGAGGTGGCGGGGGGTACATATGTCTCCGGGCGCCAATTACAGGTGACGCCAAAATGAGGCTGACATTTTCTTTGACAGTGACTAAATCATGTTATAATTTGTTTATTTATATTTTATCTTAAATAAAATGTTCCATTAAAATTTTAATTGTTTTTGTAAACATTCATTTTTACAATGTTAATGTAATAAAAATGAGATTAAACCAGGGCATCGAACCGTAATTTTTTTCGTTTCGTTTTAATCAGCAAAATGAATTTCGGTTTTCGTTCCTGAAATAATATCGGTTTTTTTTGGTTTTCGGTTTCGCTTCGAAACTTAATTTTTTCAAGCATCCTTAAACGCATGTAGCGGACATACAAACTATCACCGCGATGCCAATTTGGTTTAAATTTTAGATTGTGAATGATAAGAAATCAATAACAAAAATGATTGATTTTTAAATGTTGTCAATATAAAAGGAAACATTTCTAATATTTTTTTCAACAAATTAAATTAAAACAATCATTACAAAGATATTTTGAAATCACTAATATAAATATGGTTGTTTCAAAAAAGATGAAAATTTCTTCTGATTACTATACAAATATATCTTCTGAAATGTTTTCATTGAAACCATTTCTGCAGTCTCTGAGGATAAATTTTAATCCAGAAACAAATGCTTCCAGACTCACTTGTGTAGCTGGTACTTCAAAATTTCTCCGATTACACTTGATTTCTCTTCACGTGGCAATCCTTACGTAAATTATCGGCGAACTCAGTCGGAAAAACAAACGAAAGGAGAGATAACAAATTTTCAAAAATAATAAAAATTTCAAAGACGAAATATTATCTAAATATTTTTTTCTGAATTTAACAAAAGAAAATTCTTTTACATTTTTAGCATCGAACCGTTATTTATTTCGTTACGGTTTTCTGTTTCGGTAAAACTAGCAAACATATTTCGGTACACTATCGAGATTAGATGGAAAAAAGAAGTATAAATATATGAATTGTCAGCATAGTAAAAGAAAAGTATTTATAATACTAGGCAGTTCAGAGGTATAGAGTAGAAATAGAAAAGGTACCCCAAAAAAGAGTAGAGGAGTTAGAAGTAGCATTACGAAGAGCAACAAAAGAAAAACAACTAAAGAGATAAGAAAAAAAACAAGATAGACAAGAATCAGTAATATTCAAAGAATGATCTAGCATGATTTCTAATTTTATAGTTGACAAATTTTGTGTTGATTGCTCATATTTTTTAACATTATTTTATTTGATGGGGAATGCATCTACGTTACTCCCCACTACATTTTTTTATTATTATTCTTTAAAAATCAGGATCTGACAGACGCAGAAACTGTAACAACATGCAAGGCAGTAGTACAAAATTAAACAAATAAGTGAGTAAATAAATACAAAAAGTGAGGAAGAAAAATGTTAAAACATAAAAAAATGAAATAAGTTAGAACAAAATAAATAATAATAAAAGAAAAGTATTTGACAATGAAATATAAAATGAAGTAACGGCAAATTAATAGACTAGATGATGACATAGTGAGTTAGTGAGGTGATCGATAAATAAAAACTATATCTGTGAATGATAAAGTTTTAGTGAGTATTAATATGTTTGAGGTGTCTTGTGATGAAAGTCTTTTCCTGGTATGTAGATTGGGCGACGACTTGATAGTTATGTTTACGCTGACGAAGGTTGTGTGTTGTAGTTTTGATTGGTGGTAGTAGAGGATGGACGACGTGGTTGTTATTTTCTACTTTCTTGAACAGCCTTGAATCGAGTGTGTTGAATATCTGAGTGACGGTAGGATATGATGCAGGTAGATAGTTGAAGCGAATTAGTTTTTTGATGAGAGATTGTAGTTGCTGGAGTTGTTGTTGAGTAGCAAAACCAGACCAGAAGGGAGCTGCATATTTGATGCGTGAGATTATGAGTGATTTAGTGATGTCGAATAATTTGATGCCTCTGAGACCACGTGAACTGAGTGTTTTGAGAGCGTGAAATGTTTGAAAGCCTTTTGTGATGATGTGATTGATATGAGACGCTATATTGAGTGTGGAGGTGAATGTGATGCCTAATATTTTTAATTGACTTGTGCAAGTGATTGATGGGTGTTCAGGAGGTAATGTTTTTACGGCTATTGTGAATGATGAGTTTGAATGATTTATTGAGATTAAGTGACAGGTTGCATCGTTTTGACCTTGTAGTTAATGAGTCGAGTTCTGATTGGGTGGTGTATGAGTTAGATAATGGGATGATAAGGTAGGTGTCGTTTACTACAGTTAATTATTCTAAATAGTTTACAATCAATCGATCAATCAATCGATCGATCGATCAATCAATCAATCAATCAAACAATCAATCAATCAATCAATCAATCAATCAATCAATCAATCAATCAATCAATCAATCAATCAATCAATCAATCAATCAATCAATCAATCAATCAATCAATCAATCAATCAATCAATCAATCAATCAATCAATCAACCAATCAATCAATCAATCAATCAATCAATCAATCAATCAATCAATCAATCAATCAATCAATCAATCAATTAGCTTGTAAAGCGCTATTTCCGCGATGTTCAACAGCGCTCCTCAATGAATTTTGAAAACAGATGGGTCTTGAGAACCACTTTGAACTTCGTAAGTGATGGAGAAGTAGTCAGAAAAGTAGGTAGAGAGTTCCAGAGAGAAGGGTCAAAAAAAGCAAAAGCAGATTTAGCAAAAGAGTGTTTAACGAAGAAGACGATCGTAAACCGGAGCGTTTAGGTTCAATTATGCTTGTGTAGTAGCCAAGAAAAGTGTTAGAAGACTGGAGAAAGCCTATAGGTTAAATTCATCTAAATCCATCAACTATCCATTAATCTGATTTCTATCTATGGCAAAAATATGCTGTAGACACCTAAAAATTTTCTTCATGGCTTGGTGGGAGAGACACATCTCGGCATCTTCCAACCTAGATACGCTTTGCCACTGCCTTTTTGTCCTAGACGAGTTTTGAGCTTCGTGCACCATTTGACGCTACAGTTGTTTTTGCTTCTAGTAAAACTTATGACGTCAAGAATAGGATACGGCAACAACGGTAAAAAGCAATAAAAAATTGCAACTTCGCTCTTATCTATATTTTATTTTATTTTTTGAGCTCAGAAACTCATTTATTCGAACACATGGTTGAGTCCAAAAAATACTAAATGGGATTAAGATAAGGACGAGGTATTGAGCACCATAATTTAGTCGGTCCTAATAATAAGCAACCCAGTGAAAAACTTCACAATTGAAAAAATTAATCTAAATAAATTTTAAAAATTTAGTATTGAAATAATTTGAAAGTTAAGGTATGAATAATTTAAAATAAGTTGTATAAAATTTGATCAAATTAAAAATTATTATTTTATTATTAAATAAATATTCAGTTTCTTTTTGCGTTCACGCACATTGCATCGACTATATATACCACGTGACTTCCGACTCTCTTTCTTTTGCAGTGTCCATATTAAGCCGATATCGCTCGAATAATAAGAGGTGAGTAATCTAGATTTTTGTTGCATTTTCACTTGTCATCCACCTTTCTAACTTTGTTCATTTTGTATAAATTATTGTTCTCACTGCTCTACGTTTTATAACTGACCTGTGTTTTTTTTTTATAGTACAAAATGCCCGCTGAGAAGACTCATATCAATATTGTCGTCATTGGTCATGTAGATTCTGGAAAATCTACGACCACCGGTCACCTGATCTACAAATGTGGAGGAATTGACAAAAGAACTATTGAAAAGTTCGAAAAGGAGGCCCAAGAGGTAATTAATTATTCACGCATCTTAGTGACAGTCACGCTTCATTTTTTTAAAATTTATTTTTATTTATCAAACTTCTTACGTTATAGATGGGCAAAGGCTCCTTTAAATATGCATGGGTTTTAGATAAACTAAAGGCCGAAAGAGAACGTGGTATTACCATTGACATTTCATTGTGGAAGTTTGAAACATCCAAATATTACATAACCATCATTGATGCCCCAGGACATCGTGATTTCATTAAAAACATGATCACGGGAACTTCTCAGGTTTGATTTTGTACTAACTAACTTGTTTTGAATAGTCACTGTATCATATGCATGCCTGGTTTACGTAGATAGATGCGGCTAATTCATGTTTGTGAATTTTTTTAGCATAAAATGTAATGTTTATATTAAAATCGGTAATCCTTGAGTTTCAGACCTTTGTTTACCGATTGTTTTCATCACTATCTCCAAAAAAGTTACAAAAAAGCCTCTTACTAATATGCAAAAAGTTGATTGAGATAAAAATAAAAGAATTCTAAAAAGTTTATACTTTATTTTGTATTCAAATATAATAACATAGTATTATATTATATTGAGTTAATAAGGTTTATTTAGATATGTACAAGTTACAATAAAAATATATACAGATAATTAAATTTAAAAAAAATTGAGTTAGAGAACTTAAGTAATTATATTAAATTAAAAATAATAAATTACTTGTTAAAATAGAAATATATTAACTACAACAAAAAGTTGAAATAAAAATTTAATAAAAATTAAAATTTACATGTGTACAAATTTTTGTAAAAATATAACAAACAATTAAATTTTAGAAAAATATAACAAACAAAAATATTAAATATATTAAAGTATATACAAGGTAAGCAATGGTAAGACTGCATCTATTTTAATAAAAATCCACTTTTCGAATTTTAGTAGGAGGAGCTTATTTTACTCTCTATTGAAGATAGTGAATGTAAACAAACAAGGTAGATCTGATGTGCCTGATAATATTACCAAACGGTAGGTAACCGTACTGTTTGCACTACATAAATTCTATCAAGTAAGTGTGGATGAGGAGCCTCTATGTACCGTACATTACTTTTAGTTGACTTTCAATCGTGCCCATATAGATTCAACGTTTTATGTGCATTCTCCTGTCGATGAGTCAAAAAATTATGAAAATGGTTGACTGTCAATCAATAACTTTTTTTGTAACATGTACTGACTGACATATTTCAGGCACAGAAATAAACCATGCAGACATTCATGCTAAGTCTTTTGGCACCCTTTTGCCAGACAACTCCATCGTTCTTTAGATTGCACGTGACCTCTGGCATTTCGCACTCAAAATTATCACTTGTAGTGCGTTTGTTTTTGTTAAATGCACAACCAGGTCTGTCATATTGATTTGTAATTTATGACTAAACAATGTATGTTAGTTGTAGGGGTTAGATTCCTTAAATTTTATTCAACTTCGCAACAAAAACAATTACGTTGTAACAATTTCTCTATTACAACATAAAATACAGTTTGTAATGTAAGGAAATTAACAATAATTAATAATCGACGTTATGAGTCAATATCTTTTATTAATTAATTATTAAACAACGTTATGAGTCAATATCTCTATTTATTTATAACGTTTTAGAGTCAATATCTTTGTGTATATATATGTAATTTACAATTCGTCGGTTCACGAATTTGCCAATTTTTCCTTCTGTTTACAAATTCGCCAATTAGCTTGTTCCAGCACTAATTATCACACGTAATATTTCAAAGTTCGAGTCTCCATGTCTCACGTAATATACTTCCGAGACTCCACGATGACTCTCGCGATGATAATAATTCCTGAACTGAAATTCTGAGCCTGTTGACTGTACCTTCCTCATTGACCTTGAAAGACAGTTAAAATATTTTTAACCAACTTTTTTTAAACACTTTTTTACTTGCAATCCCCACGGCCACAAGATATTATTCTTTGTATACTGGTTACAGAATTAAATCGTTTAGCGCTACACTGAACCCTGACAGTCATTATGAGTTAATGCCTAAACAATTATAAATTTAGTTTAACTTTAGTTTTTTGAAAATTTTTTTTTAAAAGTTTTAAAACAACCATGAGAAACGTAAAGAAGTACCTGAAGTACATTTTGTTAAATTTCTTATTACGTAGATCGCTTAATTAATTGATACAATATTGAAAGACATTAATAGACAAGAAATAAACTTTGCAACGTTCTCGACTTGTTTATTATCAACCGAATCAACAGAAAAGTAAAAGTGAAGTTACATACAAAGCAAAGAACACTTGGTCCAAAGAAAATAAATGTATATTATAAATCATAATGTTTTAATATAAAACAAAACTTAACACATTTTACTTTTTAAAACATTAAAAAACTAAAAATTATGTAAATTTGATTAAACCTATTTTATTTAGATTGCCAGCTAATTTTATTTAAAATATGAAAGCACTAGGACTAGATAAAAATTAAAAACCTGTTCTTAAGGTTGATTTTTTTTGCTTCTGCTGTTAAAATGCAGAATTGTTCATTTGAAACTGCTTAATTTAATATTTTTGTAAACATTTGTTGTGTCAAATTTAGGCTGATTGTGCAGTGTTGGTTGTGGCTGCTGGCGTTGGTGAGTTCGAAGCTGGTATCTCTAAAAACGGTCAAACTCGTGAACATGCCCTGTTGGCTTATACACTTGGCGTGAAGCAACTGATTGTTGGAGTTAATAAGATGGACTCCACTGAGCCTCCATACAGCGAGGTATTTTTGTTTTTCATATTTTTGTATTTTACAGGTTTAACATTATGCTTTTGTCCTAAAGGCACGTTTTGAGGAAATCAAAAAAGAAGTTGTGGCCTACATAAAGAAAATAGGTTACAATCCTGATTTTGTACCTTTTGTTCCTATTTCTGGGTGGAACGGTGACAACATGTTAGAAAGCAGTCCTAAGATGCCTTGGTTCAAAGGATGGTCAGTTAAAAAGGCAGATAAAAAAGACTATTCTGGTGTTACAATTCTTGATGCCCTTGACAACATTGATCCACCCAAGAGGCCAACTGATAAACCTCTTCGCCTCCCATTGCAGGATGTTTACAAGATAGGCGGTCAGTCTTTATTATTTTATTTTAATTTTTGAATATAAATTAAATGACACTCAGTGATTAAATTTTTGAACTCTCTCAATGACATGTTCAGGATTAAACTTTTTTATGAGAGTGCAAATAAAAAAAGATTTTGAAAATTCGAATATTATGTTAATGTTATAGCAAATGCTAAAATGGACATTTTTAGGTATTGGCACTGTGCCCGTTGGTCGTGTTGAAACTGGTATCATCAAGGCTGGAATGATCGTTACATTTGCCCCAGTCAACTTGACCACTGAAGTCAAATCAGTTGAAATGCATCATCAAGCCCTGGAGGAAGCTCAGCCTGGTGATAACGTTGGCTTTAACGTGAAGAACGTTTCTGTGAAAGATATCAGACGTGGTAATGTGGCAGGTGATTCCAAGAATGATCCACCAAAAGAAACTGAGGAATTTAAAGCCCAGGTAAGACTTCAGGTTTTTATTGAAGTTATAATAATTAGTTTAATCCTTTAACTTTTTTAATTTGGCAGGTAATCATCATGAACCATCCAGGTCAAATTGGACCAGGTTATGCTCCTGTAGTTGACTGTCACACTTCTCACATTGCTTGCAAGTTCAGGGATCTGTTGGAGAAAATTGATCGTCGTAGTGGTAAAAAACTTGAAGACAATCCTGCTCATGTTAAAGCTGGAGATGCAGCCATTGTTGAGATGGTTCCTCAAAAGCCAATGTGTGTTGAGTCTTTCTCCGAATATCCACCATTAGGACGTTTTGCTGTGCGTGACATGAGGCAGACAGTGGCTGTTGGTGTCATTAAGTCTGTGAAGAAGAGAGAGGGTGGTCAAGCTAAAGTCACCAAAGCAGCTCAGAAAGCTGGTGTCCCTGCCAAGAAGAAATGATGTTCTGCTTATCGTGGTCATTCATTTTGGATTCTTATAGATTTGGTGACATACTTTTTTAACATGTGTTTCATTTTGAGACTTTGTTCAACAGAAATTGTACCACATCGTAAAGAGTTCAGGCGGACAAAATTTATGTACTTTAGTTGAAAGAAATTATTTGGCAGTTTTTATTGTGTTGGTTATTTTTCGCGGTTATTTATTTTAGTGCTGTTCGTGGAACGTTAATCCGTGAATTTAAAGTGATCGTGACCCGCTTGCAGGCTACAATTTTTTCTTTGGTGGCTGGAGTCCAGCATTGTAGGCATTTGGTAATTAAATTAGCATAATAAAGCAGATTAATTTGAAATTTAATTTTTTCAAAATTGTTTCAGCGTCTGGATCCGCCGCAATCGTTTAAGAGCTTTGATAAGTTGTGGTAAGTAGCATAAGAACAAAAATAGCTTTTTTTCGAAGAATTAGTTTCCTGGCGGTCGATAGATGCACGATGAGCATGCATGTTAAAAAACCTCGATTTTCCAATTTTTGGTCAATCGTTAGGTGTGTCAAAAAACTGCATTTATTATAATTTTTAACTCGTTTAAACAGCCTTTGCTCAAAAATCTCACGTGGTTTTCGAATTTCAAAAAACTGACAGCACTTGTGACGGTTATTTATCCGATGATCAGTCGCGCAGGATGCTAAACTATGAGATTTTATATAGTTTTGCTAGTCCTGTTGTTCTCATCCGGTCCTTTGCTATTTTTTTGCCTACGTACATTCAGTCAGAACTATCAAAGCGAATGTGGTTGTTTTGCTGCTATTTCATTAGTATTAGATTTTTGCCCTAAAAATTGCAGCTTAGTATTTGCTTTACAAGAATAACATTAGTAATCTTTCCCGTATCTAAGAGTCCATTAGTATGTGAGTCAACAACTACAATCTCTCATCAAAAAACTAACTCGCCTCAGCTATCTACCTGTGTCATATCCTACCGTCACTCAGATATTCGACACTCGACTCAAGACTTTCCAAGAAAGTAGAAAATAACAACAACCACGTCATCCATCCTCTACTACCACCAATCAAAACTACCACACACAATCTTCGTCAACGCAAGCATAAATATCAAGTCGCCACTCATTCAACATATCAGGGTAAGACCTTCATCACAAGACACCTTAAATATGTACATATATTATATATATCCACGATAAGCACTCAAAAAAACTTTATCATTTACTCAATCTAGCTTTCTTTTTTTCTTATCGACCACCTCACTAACTCATTAAGCCAGTATCTAGTTCATTAATAAATTACTTTATTTCTTTGCTTTTTTATACTATTACTTTATTTTGTTTTCAATACTTTTCATGTTTAAACAGTGGCGGATTAATCTTTTTGCCGCCTAGAGGCACTCGTGGTTTGCCGCTCCAATTTTAAATTTTATAATTAATTTAGAAATTAAATTCATATAAATGCAATATTTTTAAAACATTTTTATTAAGTACATTCTTTAATAATATTCATGTAATGTAATATTATCAATTTTAAAAAATAAATTTTCTTTCATTGCAGTTTATAAAAAGTATTTCAAAACTTTACGACGTGCCTTCCTGCGCGTAAATTCATCAATAACGAAATTAATGTCTAAATCTTGCAAAATTGTTTTTTCGATGCATAGAATTGCAAGATAATTTAACCTTTCTTCGGACATTGTCGAACTTAAATAGTTTTTAACGCGCTTTAAACAAGAAAAAGATTGCTCGGCCGAACAGTTTGTAGCAGGAGTACAAGTGTACATCCGAAGTGCAATGTCTACATTTGGATATACACACTGCAAGTCATTCAATCTTATCCATTCACACAAATCAATTGGAGTGTGTGGAACTGCATTTTGGTCTAAGGTAGCCAAATGAGACTTTAAATGCAACAGTTCAGTATTTATGGTGTCTTCTAGATCGTTTGGAAATAAAGATTTTAATCCATCCGCTGCAATCTCTAACTCACCCATTGACAATGTTTTGAACTGTACAATTGCTTTGAAATTTTCATTAATTTCTACATAAGCGTTTCGTTTCTTTGTCATTTCAGTTAAGTTATCCACAATTGCCAAAAATAGGTTTATACGAAAATTTTCTCGAGTGGTAAATTCTGTTTCATTGTCAACTAATTCGTCGTAATGCCGCTTCCGCTTTCTTAATGGCGGTATCTTGTAGTCATCAACTAAAGACAGGACTTTTCGTTTTTTTTCATAATCCTCAAATCTTTCTCTGAGTGATTCGAACAACGTTAAAAGTGAGTCGTAAATTTCGATTACAGTCGATAGATCAATGTCTACTTTTTGAAGTTTGACGTTAGACTTGTTCAGACATTATAAAACATAACCCCACAATTCTACCATAATTCCGGTTTCAAGAAAACTCAAATTAGAAATAATTCCTTTAGCCTCAGCACGAGTTTCTGGTTTGAATCCTTTTAAAGTATCAATTTCAATAATTATTTTTATTCAACTTGAATATTTTAAAATAACAAAATTTGCCGCCCCCCAAAATTTGCCGCCCCAGGCCGGTGCCTGTTGTGCCTGTGCGTTAATCCGCCACTGTGTTTAAACATTTTTTATCCGTTATTTTTTTTTCGTTTTCCTTTTGTAACAATTTCCGCATCTGTCAGATTCAGATTTTTTGAAGAATAATAGAAAAAACTCAGGAGATTTACTTAACTATATAAAGGAAAAGGTGATGTTCTACTTCTAACTTGATCGTTATACTGTGAAAACGGTTGAAACTGATTTCATGATTCTTGGATTATTTTATTTTTTTTCAGTGTCTGTTCCAGTCATGGATATATAATGGATATGGCAAATCTCATATGTATATATATATATATTCATACATCGGTTAAAATACATCCATAGAACCAAAAACATCAATGAAAAATTAATTTTAAAAAACATTTAGCTTTTTATCTATGTTTAGAATATCGTCTAGTTTTCGATTATCGTCATAGCTTCCGTAGTTGAGTTATTACCAAATAAGAATTTCGCTTTAAAAAACTAGCAACATAAGTTGGTAATGTTTGATTGCTAACGTTGCTGGTGTGTTTCAGTTGCGTTGGGCTTTTTTGATACTAATTTCCAAAATTGTTGTTGTTGTTGTTCATATTTAACGGCATTTATGCTCCCAAAGTGGTACAATTGTTTGCCAAATTAAGAAAAAATTATTTTTTTTCCATGTGGAAAAATAGAAGTTCAGATAATATGAAAAATGTTTATTGCACTGAACGTGGGGAAAGAGAAATACTATGGGAAAAATATTTAAATCATATCGTAGTGGTTACAATCCTTCAGAAATTGTATTACATTGATAATATTATTGTTATTCTTAAAATTCTCTGAAACAACAACACACGTTTAGACGACATTTTCCCCGAGATCGGGGGTTGCCGTTTGGCTACCTATGATGAAACCGAAATACCCCTCGACGCCATCCACATCTGTCACTCGCCTCAGTATCACGTAACCCCGCTTTCACCCTGTCCTTCTCCACCTGCTCTCTCCATCCCAATCGCGGACGACCCCTTCCTACCACTCCTTCAACCTCGAACTCCAACGCTCGCCTAATCCCGACCCTTTCATCCCTTCTCAACACATGTCCATACCATCGCAATCTCGATCTCCTTATCAATGTCACAATGTCCTCATTCAGTCCCATCATTGACATCAGCTCTGTACTACTCCTCCTATCCTTCACTTTAACCCCACACATCATCCTCACCATAGCTCTTTCAGCCCTCTGCAGTACACTTTCCTCCTCTCTCCTCAACACCCAAGTTTCACCACCATATACCATCGCTGCTCTCACACATGCTTTATATACCCTCCCTTTCATCTTCACTGACCATTTCTTTCCACACAATACCCCACCCAGTTCCCTAAATTTCATCCATCCCACACGAACTCTAGTCGTAACTGTGCTCAAACATCCTCCATCCGCGTTCAGCTTATCCCCTAAGTAAACAAAGCTTTCCACTCTTTCAATACCACCACTCAACCCCGTCCTTGCGTCCGTCCTATTAATCACACCATGAACACATTTCTTACATTTGAACGTGCCTTCCACCTTTTTAGTGCCCCCCTCACACCACTACATCTCTTATGCACCCATTTCTGACATCCTATACACAATACCGAGTTAGCCTTCACTCTCCTGTCACATACCCCACAGGGGTTTATTTTACTTATCACTCGCTCCCCACCTTCCCCACTCACCATTACCTTCGTCTTACCAATATTAACTTTTAACCCTTTCTTTTCAATAACACTTTTCCATCTGTCAAATTTTAACTGCAATTCTTCCATGCTATCAGCCATCAAGACTAAATCATCTGCATACAAAATTCCAAATAACAACCCCTCCATTATGTTTCCACACACAACATCTATCACAATTGCAAACAGAAACGGTGATAACACTGATCCTTGATGCACTCCTACCTTAACACTAAAAGCGTCCGACATCCCCCTTCCAACCCTCACCTTTGTCTTTGCCCCTTCATACAGCTGCATCACAGCTTTAACAAGTCTCTCATTCACTCTTTTCTTCCTCAACGCCCATTCAATGACCTTCCTCGGTACTCGATCAAAAGCCTTTTCTAGATCCACAAAACATATGTACAATCATCGTTTCTTCTTTCTATAATTCTCCTGCAACATTCTCACCATGAACAACGCATCCACCGTTCCCCTACCAGGCATAAACCCACACTGCATTTCATTAACTGTCACCATATTTCTCAACCTCCTCTCAAGCACCCTCTCCACTACCTTCATTCCGTGCTCTAGCAATTTCACACCTCTATATGACCCACAATCTCTCACATCTCCTTTGCCCTTATACAACGGCACCAACACACTGTGTCGCCAATCCTCAGGTATACCTTCATCATCAAACATACTGTTAGCAATTCTCATCATAACTTCAATTCCTATCACCCCACTCGCTTTTATATGTTCTGCCGCCACTTCCGAAACCCCTGTCGCCTTACCTAGTTTCATTTCTCTAACTGCTTTCTCTACTTCCTCCATCGTCACCTTTTCTATAGGTCCGTGTGTGACCGCGGATTCCACATCTCCATCTCACTCATTCTTTTCATTCATCAACCTTTCCATATGAGCTTTCCACACCTGAGC